AAGCTCAGCTAATCACAATGCCGGGAACAAGTCAATCATACACACATCCATCATATATATATCCGTCTTCACAAGGCGAGGCCCAAACCGCTCCTGGTAGCTCACAGCAGTTTCATTGTCATCTTCCACCTGTTTCTATGTTACCTCCCCCGCCACCATTACCTCCCGGTACCATGCCACCAGGGCAACCAAGCTTCCCACTTTCGTTTCCCATTAGAAAATTGGAACCCCCTGGAAGGCCTCTTCCTCCACCGCCTCCTCGATCTTCATTGCCAATCATTGCAGACACCGCTTGTGATAAACCTGAAGCTGCAAAGCTTGTTTGTGAAAGTGTGTCTTTGAATGGCATAGCTCTTGACCATGAAGGACCTGTTGTTGAAGACGCTGGATCTTCAAAAGAGAGTTCTATCCATTGCGGTGAATCTTCTCCACCACTTGAGAAGGCAGAGGATGGTTCTCCTTTATGTACTGACCCTGACATTGAGATGGAAGGTTTGTGTGAGAAAAATTTGAAACTTTTACTAAGCCCAACATCAAAGTTTGGTTCTTTCTTGTTAACCCATTTTTTATATTTGTCTTCCTTTCTTTCAGATGATATTACGCTGCCAGAGAATGAGAATTACCCAAGCCAACCTCTTAACTGTGGTTCTTATCAAGTTCGTGGGGAATACGTAAAGACAGAACAGCCGCCTTCACAACACAACTTAGTTGAAACCAATTCTATCACAGGGAACACCGTGAATTTTCAGATAGAGCCTCTTGGTTCAAAGTCATACGCTCAAATACACCAAGATACAGATGATGGTTCCAGACAAGCTTCTTCCTCTCCTTACTCTGGAAGAGCCAAGATTGTCCCGGAATGCGGTCTCGGTTACATGTATGATCCCTTCGTAGACAGCTTTGAACCAGTATCCGTAAAATTAGATTGTGTTCAGGAGCTTGAACCAGCTAACGACTCGTACAATGTACCAAAGGCTAGCATTTCCTCAAACAGACCACTCAACATGGGAGAAAACAACCAAGGTGTTGATAAACAAGCTCTAAGTGGGTCAGACATGACAGCTCGGGTCAGTGTTTCCTCCAAAAAACCACCGGACGTTGAAGAAAACACCACAGGAAACGATATTGGAGCAGTTGTTTCTGGAGACAATGACGAGTTTGGTGAGAATGCAGAAAACGGAAGAGGTAACAGCCATGAGACGGGGACTCCAAACTCCCATAACGACAATGTACTTGAAGGCGATAACACAAGGAAAAAGTCCAGAGAGAATCCAAAGGAGAAAGATCCATCAAGGTCCATGAAGCTTTTCAAAGTGGTGCTTACAAAATTCGTGAAGGATCTTCTGAAACCATCATGGAAGCAAGGGAATATGAGCAAAGAGGCGTTTAAGACGATTGTGAAGAGAGCGGTGGAAAAAGTTTCGAATTCAATGGAGGGTCGTCATATACCGAAATCAAGAGCTAAGATCGATAGGTACATTGATACTTCACAGCAGAAGCTGACCAAACTCGTCATGGTAAGAAACATAGAAAGCTTCAAAATCCATCATTATGGTTTACGGAACCAGACTCATCTTGGTTTCTTACATTTTTGTTTTGGCAGGGTTATGTAGACAAGTATGTCAAAGCATAGAAGATAAGAGAATCAAAGAGGATTTCACATAACACGGCTTTGCTTCTTTTGCGAAGAATTTTGATGTTCTGACATTTTTGTATTTGTATGATAATATAAAATGTTTTAGTCAGAATCGTTCTTTCTTCGGTTGTGTTGTGACTTTTACAATGATGAAGTCACTCACTGTGATTCTTTCTCGTAATCCTGATTACATTTTGCCTACATGAAGAATCTTATTTGATTAAGCCTTTAGTTTTTGCTTATTTGGTTAAATCTTAAACAGTAATTGAATTAGGGGAGAATACTTTACCTAATTGTTTACATAATATAAATTGCAGTTAAAGCTCGTGATGCCTCCGTAGCATAGTGGTATTGCGTTCGCTTCGTAAGCGAAAGGCCGCGAGGTCGATCCTCGCCGGGGGCTGGCTTTCCCCATGATAGCGTCTTTTTCAATTTTTTTTTTGGTTAATTCCAATAATGTTTGGTTTTCGCTTGTCATATAAGTTGTGTGTGTACTTCTGTCTCTACATATTTGCATCTTCGCGTAGGTAGAGACACAAATGATGCATATACGGCCCGTATTATATTTTTAAGATTGGGATCCCGATCATGAGAGCAAGAAAATAAGTGTAGATATGCATGACAAAAAAAAATCAGCGATGCAGAACAAACATAATAATAATAATAGGGTGATTAAAGCAAAAGATAAAAATGTGAAAGTTACAAGAAAACAATTGGCTTGTTAAAAATCGTGATTTTAATAATGTTATTTTAAATCCAATTTGTTTTGGAATCATAAAATTCTTTA